GATCCCTAAATTCTTCTCTCCACGTATGGACACTCCAGAAAGATTTCATCTAGAAGCTAAAAGAATAAGGCCCTTCTGTCCAGGTGGATGGTTAAAATGTACTAGGGTTTCAAAAGAGAAATGAAGAATTGCTAAGCAGAGAAATATTGTCCAAAGCTTTATAGTAATTGGAAGAGGTTTTTTTTTTTTTTTTTTTCCCGGAATGCCATAGTTTATTCATTGGTCTTAGCATCAGGGCTCTAGAAAACTTTATCCTGTGATTATGCCTCTTTTCTCCCTCCCCCCTTTTCAAAAAAACTTTTTATTGTGGAAAGTTTCACACATACATAAAGTCGGGAAGAAGCATTTAATAAACAGCCTTGTGTCCATCACCCACATTCTCCAAGAGTTTTTCAGCTACTTTGCCAGTGAGTTTTATTTTTTAAAAAATACACAGATCAGGGCTTCCCTGGTGGCGCAGTGATTGAGAGTCCGCCTGCTGATGCAGGGGACACGGGTTCGTGCCCCGGTCCGGGAAGGTCCCACATGCCGCGGAGCGGCTGGGCCCGTGAGCCATGGCCGCTGAGCCTGCGCGTCCGGAGCCTGTGCTCCACAACAGGAGAGGCCACAAGAGTGAGAGGCCCGTGTACTGCAAAAAAAAAAAAAAAAATACACAGATCACTAATGACTGACTTTAAGCTGTTCATCAAGGAGATCATTTTGGCAATAATTTTTTACCAATTTGTCCCAGGGTTAAAAAAAAAGCTCAGCTGTTCCATTTGGTTTAGGGACTAGCGAGATTTTAATTTCTAATTTCCAAAGCTACTGCATATTTGGCTAATTAATCCTAGCATCTGACAATGAAGGAGCAGAGAAAGAACACAACGTTTCAAGTATAGAATAGTAAAAACTCCAGCTGCATTTTAATCTCCCGTGGTGCAAACTTCAGGAAGCGTATGAAACAAAACCTTCAAAAGGAAACTGTGGTAGTTAGCCTCCAAGAATGCCAATGGTCATCAGGCTTCCCCAGGGCAGCCCACTCCCACACTGCACCAGGTTGGTCCATGTGCTGGCAGAAGGGATGGTACACGGCTTCCAAGAGGAGGTACCAGGGCACGGCAGTCTCCATCGTGATCATCCTCGCTCTCTCTCTCTCTCTCTCTCTCTCTCTCTCTCTCTCTCCTCTCTCTCTCTCTCTCTCTCTCACACACACACACACACACACACACACACGTCACTTGCCCCGGGGGAGAAGGTGAGCGCCCAGGTTGTGCAGGGCCCTGCGGAGCAGCCACGTGGTGAGCACTGAGGCCCCCAGGCCACAGGCGTGTGCGTGCCCCGTCTCGGGAGAAACTCTGAACCAGAGCGCCCAGCCGAGCTGCTCCCAGATCCTGAACTTCAGAAACTATGTGATCATAAATGTCTGTTGTCTTAAGCTGCTAAATTTGGGCCAATTTATTACACAGCAGTAGAAAATTCACTCAAAAGACAGACAAACTTTTTAGGCAGGCAGCCACACAGCACCAAACTACTCTATTTCCTTCAACTCATGACGTATACTAAGCAAAATTACATAGCTTGGAATGTTTTAATTTGGATGAGACCTAACTCAATATTTTGTATGTCGATTCCCAATTTGGTGGGCCTAAATCATACTGTATACATATTGCCCACTAAGCTCTGACAAAAGCAACAAAGACAACAATGTATTAGCCATTATCTATTGATAGCACCCGTTTCTGCGTTTAGACTTCGATTTTTTAAAAGGCAAAAACTCCCCAAAGATTGGTCTACAACCACGACAGAGAACACTCAGGAAAATGATAAGCACTTACTTTTTTTTTTAGAGTGACATAAACTTGAAATTGAGACCCGGCTGATATTTTGCAGTTGCTATAGGAACCACACGTACCTTCCCTCTTTGACAGTCCGCATCCACATTCTCTTCGCCTTTCTTTCCACTCTCACCCACCCAAAAGCTCACACGCCCTGCCCTCATGTCGGCTTGGCCCCTCTACTTTTTGGAACATCCAATATGTACACGTGCACACCCGTATTTGTATTCCTAGGAACCAAAAGAACTGAGGACACAGCTCATGGTCAAATCTCCAAGGCCAGATACTTACCTGGTATTGGTTAGATCAGGGGGTCTGTGCCAGCAGATAGCTGATGCTCAGTAAGGATCAGGTTCCCTCCTCCTCCTTGCCCACCCCGGCCCCCTCCGCACGATGAGGGAAGGGCTCCATTTCTCTGGTACTCAGTCAGCTCTCTTCCATTCAGACTCCTCAGCAACACTCCTTCACTTTAGAAAAACATCCAGCGGGCTCTATGTTCTGTACAGGCAGCCCCCAAATTAGGATGTGACCCACGATTTTTCAACTTTATGATGGTGTAAAAGAGATAAGCATTCGGTAGAAACCTACTTCAAATTTTGGACTTTGATCTTTTCCCGGGCTAGCAATATGCGGCAAGATACCCTCTTGTGTGGGCAGAGACCTAAATAGACAACGTCTCCAAAGAAGACGTACAGGTGGCCAATAGGCGCGTGACAAGATGCTTGACATCGCTAATTATTAGAGAAACGCAAATCAAAGCTACAATGAGGTACCAACTCACACTGGTCAGAATGGCCATCATCAGAAAGTCTACAAATAATAAATGCTGGAGAGGGTGCGGAGAAAAGGCAACCCTCCTACACCGTTGGTGGGAATGTAAGTTGGTGCAGCCACTATGGAGAACCGAATGGAGGTTCCTTAAAAAACTGAAAATAGAGTTGCCATATGATCCTGCAATCCCACTCCTGGGCATATATCCAGACAAAACTGTAATTCAAAAAGATACATGCACCCCTATGTTCATAGCATCACTATTTACTCCAGTAGCCAAGAAGCAACCTAAGTGTCCATCAACAGATGAATGGATAAAGAAGATGTGGTCCATATATACAATGGCATATTACTCAGCCTTAAAAAAGAATGAAATAATGCCATTTGCAGCAACATGGATAGCCCTAGAGATTCTCATCCTAAGTGAAGTTAGTCAGAGAGAGAAAGACAAGTATCATATGATATCACTTATATGTGGCGTCTTTTAAAAAAATGATACAAATGTGAACTTATTTACAAAACAGAAACTGACCCAGAGACATAGAGAACAAATTTATGGTTACCAAAGGGGATAGCATGTGGGGATGAGAGGCAGGGGGAGGTAAATTAGGGAGTTTGGGATTAACGTATATGCACTACTCTATATAAAACAGGTGAACAACAAGGACCTACTGTATAGCACAGGGAACTCTACTCAATATTCTGTAATAACCTATAAGGGAAAAGGTTCTGAAAAATATATGCACACACATATATATGTTTCACTTTGCTGTACACCTGAAACGAACACGACATTGTAAACCAACTATACTTCAATAACTAAAGAAAAAAAAAAAAAAACTCCTCTCTGTGATGCTGGACCACAGCCCCAGTCAGCCACAGGACCACAAGGGGGAACAGCTGATACAAGGCCAGTCCGTACCCTCCATACCCACAGAGCCGGTCTGTTCTCCACTCTGAGTACAGAATGCAATAAGCTATATGAGATATTCAACACTTTATTATAGGACAGGCTTTGTTTTGGGTGCTTCTGCCCAACTGGAGGCAATGGGGGTGCTCTGAGCAGGTCTAAGTTGGGCCAGGCTAAGCAATGGGTTCAGCAGGTTAAGCGTATTAAATGCGTCTTTGACCTACGATATTTTCAACCTATGGTGGGTCTATCGGGACGTAACTTCAGTAAGTCAAGGACAAGCTGGATTTGGAGCCAGTGAAAAGTGGGACTCTTGCTATCACCCTGAGACAAGTTGCACTGGAAGCCTCAGAAGAGCTGCCAGGATCTCTCAGAGCTATTGCTCTAGGTTGTTACACTGTCTCCACATTTAGCTTTCAGAAAGAGGCTCCAATTATGTTTCTAGGTGGATAAGAATTTAGTAACTGAATGCAAAGGCTTATTGTGGGATTGGGTGATGCAGCCCAAAGAATTATCTCAACCCTGTGGTCTAAACATTTCCAGAATCTCAAGCCATCTTCCACCAAGGCAAGAACCCTGAAGAATTAAGGCAAGAAATCAGAACTTTTCCACCTCTTCCACCTTCTACCAAGACCCACTGAGATCCCATTTGCGGCCCTATTCTTGTTTTCCTATCTTTATGTGTCCAGTCCCGTATTCCCAAAAGATATCTAATAAGTTATCCCGCCCACTTTTTTTTCACACGAAACCCTGGGCATAGGGAAATCTTGCTGACATCTCAGGTCAGAATAGTCACTGTTTCCAATGGGAAATAACATGAATAGAAAAGGAAGGGAAGACCCAGATGGGGCAGGAGAAAGACTAGCTGTAGCAACTGAAGCCACACACGAGGGATGTGTGTCCCTGGCCTTATTCCCACCCCTAACCCTAACCCCCACGGCCACAAAGGACGCCGCCAGCGTTCCTTACTTCGTTTAACCCTAACAAGGAGGATGACTATCACCTTTTTACAGCTGTGGACTCTGCGGGACAGAGAAGTGCAGAGCTGTGCTCGAGATCACACCACGAAGAAAGTTTCAGAACGTGGGTCTTTGCACCTTGCCCTCCTGTCCTTCCCAATATTCAAGCCTACCTTTCCCGCTCACTCCGTATCTGAGAACTTCGACATTCCAATCATATTGTTCCAGGTGGACGGAACACTGCCTTAAACTGTTTCCAACTGTGACATCCGAGAATCTTGCTGCTTTCTTAAAATATGGGTCATTTACCCGTCTGAAAGATACACTAGTCCTTCTGACAATCAGTGCCCACTATCCATCCTCAAAACCTAACCAAAAAAAATTTTTAAATGAGGTTAGGAAACCGGGACAAAGCAGAAAGTTCACTGTTCTACAAGGGACGAAACCAAGTCACAGACAACTCCAACGAGCCATCAGCCAAGTCTCTCCCAATGGCAATTCTAAACGAGTCCGGGGGACACAAGAGCTTCTCTCCGGAAGACTCACCTGAAAGCAACATCAAAGTTCCAACGTTTCCAGAATTCACCCGAAAACGAGCACAGAACGGACGCTGCTCCCACGAGCAGCCTGGGCGCAGCTGTCTCGGCACCAGCGTCTGAACCCACCACGGGCACGACCTCCTAGACCTACGGGGGCGAGACGAGGCGCACGGGCAGGTCCAGGCGCGCCCCGGGAGAAGCCGCCCCAGCGCCAGCCCCTCGCGTAAGGGGGCGGGGCGGGGGGGGGGGGGGGGGGGCGGGGAGCAACTTTGCGCTCAGCACCAGGACGGCAGCAGACCGCGCAACTTTCGAAGCGCGGCCCCCGGGAGTCCACGGCCAAGCTCTTGAGGCGCTAAGAAGTTTGTGCAACATTCACAGCCTCACCCTGACCACAGCGGCGACTAAGGGCCTGAGGAAGTGAACCCTCCTCGGCTGGAGGCCCGAAAGGCAGGAAGTAGCGGCAGAGGCCACTTGCCGGACAAGGGAAGGAGCGCCGGACTCGGGAGGCGCCTGGGGCGCCGCCCCCATCTCCTCCGCCCCAAGCGGGTCTGGGAGGACCCCCGTCCCCGGCCCGAGCGGGGCCGCCGCCCCCAGGTCGCCCTCCTGCCACAGCCCTGCGCGGAGCCGGGGCCAGGTGCCACCCGGCCCGGGGCGCGCCCCACCTCGCCCGCAGGGCCCCGCTGGGGCGCGGACACCCTTACCTGCGACCCGTCCCGTGCCGCCTGGCCGTCCGCACCGGCCCCCGCCCTTAAACCTGCCCCGCCCGCTCCTTCGCCTCCTCCGGCGGCCGGACCCCAGCCCTGCCCCGCCGATTTGTCATTGAGCCGCCGGCTCGCTTCCCCACCCCCCCGAGCGCGCGCCCGGCGTCGCCTAGGCAACCCCGCCCCTCGAGAGCGCGCCCTGCCTTCCGCTCCCACCCATCCCCCGGAGACCTCGCCCATCGGGAGCCTACTAGCCAATCCGAAGCGGAGTTTCCCAGCCTTGGGCGGGGTGAGGAGGAAGCTTCTCCAATGAGAAGCCGCCTAGGGCGGGAGGGGCGGGTTCCGCACGCAGGCCCCGCCCGCCTCCACTTCCTCCTGTCGGCGGCTGACGCGCTGCACGTGACCACTGCTCCAGTGAAGGAATCCGAGCAGGTCTGGGGACTCTGGGCGTGGCGGGCAGGGGTGCTCCCGCCGTGGGCTTAGGTCAGGGCGAGGCCAGAGCCCTGGAAAGCAAAAGGGAAAGGCAGGCCTGATGTGGAGAAACCGAGGCAAATCACGATGCCTCCAGGCGGCTGTCGGGACGCCGGACCGGGGCTCCCGAGGCGGGACCTCCGCCTGCCGCCACCACTCCCCACGCTGATGACACCCCATTAGCAGTAATGGGGTTGCCAGGGCCTCGCAATGACTTGGCCCAGGTCACGTACAAGGGCCGGAATCCTCACCCCAGCTGTAGCCTTGATGTCGGAAGTTCAGTGGGTAAGCTCGTGGCCGACGGGTTTTTCACCCACAAGGCTCAGGAACTTGTAATTTCGATCCAAATAGGGTTTGGGTTGATTTTCCTAACTGCCCCTTCTTAGAGCTGAGTCCTACCCTCATTCCACTTCGCCTTCGCAGGATTTATGGCCCCACTGATCCCTACACAAACCTCATGGCACGTCCGTCACACACTGTATGGCAATCAATTGTTTAAATGCCCGCCTCTATATCTCTAGGGATGAAAACTATCTCTTGTTCAATTTGATATCCACAGCAGCTAGCACCGTGTAATTAATCCTTTCCTTGTTGATAATTATACACCAGGGTGCTGCGTGTGGTATATGAGAGGCTTTGTGCCTTGATTACATTGCTATGTATAAGCAGCTAACAGATTCAGGCCCTTTACCAAGAGCTGTATCAAAAAGCACAGAAGCTTTAACTTAGTCTTAAGTAACGGTCTTAACCAAAAACATGTCACCAGAATATCCTAGTGTTACCCTACTATCCTAAGTATTCTGTTTTACCCTTCTTGTACGCATTAAAGGCGTACTAATTGCCTGCTAATTATATGACAGAAACTGCCAGGTGCTATAAGAGAGAAGGTAGGAGGCTTCTCAAAAAAGGAGGCTCTCTATGGACCTAGCGATGATCACACTAAGTGAAGTAACTCAGAGAGAAAGACAAACACCGTGTGATACCGCTTATGTGTGGAACCTAAAATACGATACAAATGAACTTACCTACGAAACAGACTCACAGACAGGTGGAGAACAGACTGGTGGTTGCCAAGGGGGGGCGTGGGGGAGGGATGGGCTGGGAGTTGGGGATGAGCAGATGCCAACTATTGTGTAGAGAATAGATACACAACAGGGTCCTACTGCAGAGCACAGGGAACTATATTCAATATCCTGTTAAACCACAATGGAAAAGAATATGAAAAAGAATGTATATATATGTATATGTATAACTTGAATCACTGTTTGGCTGTACAGCAGAAATTAACACATTGTAAATCAACTATACTTCAATAAAATAAACTTTAAGGTAAAAACTTTTTTTAAAAAAGGAAGCTCTCTAGTATTTATAACCTAGAAGGGGAATCAGGTGCAAACTTTTTCCTATGGAGTAACAATGAAGTGCACAGGTTTAGAATCAGGAAGCACAGATTCACAGAACTAGCAATGATTAGGAAGTTGGTTAGGAAGTTGCTTAGCCTCTGTGGGCCTCAGTTTCCCCAGCCATCCCATAGGAGCAGCGCCTGTGCCCTGCAGGGGTGAAGATTTAAATGCAATTACCTATAGAGCTCTCGGTAGATACAGTGCTAGGAACTTGATGAGCGCTTAACAAATGTTAGCTTCAACTGTGATTGCCAGCAGAGGCCAAGATGTGCACTCAAGCCCATCGTAACCACCTAGGGGACAGCATTTCGTCCCGAGGCCCGTGGTGACTGGGGTGTGCGCACCGCTGTCGCGCAGCCAGCGCTGTGTGCAGCCCAGCGGGAAGGACCTGCTTTGATGATGTCATTTGACCAAATGCACGTTGAGACAGTGGAGCGGCTCCCCGCAGCCCAGCCAGCTGAAATGGGCAGTTTAGGGGACAGGATCAGGGTTGTGGAGACGACCAGCGTTTCCTGTCCCCACACCCCTAGGGTCCACAGTGGCCACAGGCGGTTTCCTTACCTTTCCTGGGTGCATAAGTGCCATTGCTGTGACTAGCAACAGAATGTCATGCAGGATGGATGCAGTGGGCTTTCTGAGAAATGCTGTCCTTACTCTCTTCCCCCCATTGCCCGCGCCACCCCCTCACCTCCGTACCTCCTTTAGCCCCCAGGACTCGGAGGGATTCCCGTGGGAGGAACATCTGTTCGGCTCCTAGACACGCCAGGCCCCGGCTGAGCGTGGTGGGTGCAGAGAGGATCAGAACACTTTTGGAAGGGCTGTCTCACAGAGGTCACAGCCCAGGAGCATGTCCCATGGGGGGATGAGCCCTGAGAGGTGACTGGCCACAGAGCCTCTGGGACTGCTCCTGTCTGGTCTCGGGCCACCCCTGTCTGCTGAGCTTCTCCTAAGGGAACCCTGACTGCCCGCAGAGCCCAGGGCCTGAACAGCAGGGATACGAGATCCCCAGCAGGCCCCTGTAAGGTGACTCGCACCCACTGCAGCTGTAGAAGAAGCATTCTAGATGTTCCCTCTTTCAAAACTATCAACTGAGTCCAGAGCGCTGTCTGACAAGTATTTCCACTTCTCTTTCCAGGGCACTGGCGGGACCTGAACTTCCCAGCTCCCTGTGCTTGAGTGAGGCGATGTGACTAGTTCTACCCAGTGACCTGGAAGCGGAAGGGACACGTAGTCATTTGGGGGCAGGAGACTGTCAGTGTGAGACCCTTCTCGGTGGCGCGGCCGCTGGGAGTGTTTGGGAGGGTGGCCGCGCCGTCAGCCCTGGCACCTGCAGCGAGCACAGTGACTCTCACCCCCGCCCCCGACGGCCTGAGATGTCCGCTGACCACGGCGAGACATAAACGTTTGTGGTCTGAAGGCACTAAGATTCAGGAGTTGTTTGTTCGGCTGCAAAGCTTCGCGTCCTCTGACTGACGCCGGGCCCTAACGTGTACCAAGCTGGGGATGCAATGGTGGACAACTCAGACGAGAGAACCAGTAGATGGACAAGCAACCTGAGAACTCCCGATGACGTGAGACTGGGTGGTCAGAAGAAGGTCTCTCTTCATATACATACTACCATGTGCAAAACAGAGAGCTAGCGGGAACCTGCAGTACAGCCCAGGGCGCTCAGCTCGGTGCTCCGTGACCTCCTAGATGGGTGGGCTGGGCGGGCGATGGGAGGGAGGGGATACGTGTATACACATAGCTGATTCACTTCGTTGTACAGCAGAAACTAACACAACGTTGTAAAGCAACTATGCCCCCATTTAAAATTTTTTTAAAAAAGTCTTTCTCAGGAGGCGACATTTAAGCTAGGACCTGAAGGACGCAAAGGAATCAGTGTCAGGAAAGGTTGGGAGTGAGGGGAAGGAGAGGACCTTCCGAGCGGAGGAACAAGCCGCAGAGACAGCGGCCAGGAGGCGTGGACGGAGAGCCGTGGGCGGGGCGGGCGGGTGAGACCCCAGAGGGTGCAGAGGGAGGTGGGATCTGGATCATGCGGGGGCTCCTAGGTTAGGGTGAGGAGATTGGAATGTGTTCCAAGTGTGACAGGAATCCACTTAGGAGGTTCAAGTCTGCAGGCGGACAGGCTTTGATTTAGGTTTTAGAAAGACCACTCTCGTATCGTGTAGAGGTCGAGCTGTAAGGGGCAGGTGTGGGCATGGGGCTTAGAAGGCTGTTCCGGGGGTCCAAGCAAAGTGGGGTCCGCAGGGCCAGAGGCTGGAAGGGAAACCTGCCCTCAGGAGGTTCGGGGAGATTTGCAGAAGGAGGGGAGCAAAAGCACTGAACAGAAGGTCCTCCTGCCAAATCCCAGAGGAAGCAGAGGCAAGGCTGGACGTCGGGACCCCCAGAGGTGCACTGACTCCAGGGAGACGGGTGCTCAAAAGCCAGGCGGAACGGGGCTTGTGGAGCCACGGGGTGTGGAGCAGAGAGCTGGCCAATTTCCTAGAACATCAGCCAGAACAGCCCTGGATGGTATTATTGGAAAGAGTCTGACAAGCTCTGACATCCCTGTGGACATTTGATACTTGGTGACCGCCTCGATTAGAGGGGGGCCACCGATCTATAGACGGAAAAAAGCCATTCTTACCTACTGACGGCGGGAAGAATCTACTGTAAACAGCAAGACTAGATGGGGTGCATCTCCAGTGATCCAGTCACCTTGCTACTCTGTGTTTCCCCAGCCCTCAGTGCCCTGCACTTCCTGTTCTCAGGAACGGGTCTCACAGGCTCATTCATACACAGGAATAAATGACTAAAGACAGCTCAGTGCAGGACTTCCCTGGTGGTCCAATGGTTAAGACTGTGCTGCCAATGCAGGAGACACGGGTTCGATCCCCGGTAGGGGAGCTAAGGTCCCGCATGGCGCGGCCAAAAAGAAAAAAAAAAAAGACAGCTCTGTGGGTTCCCATTCCTTCCTGGGCATTTGCATCGTCCAAAACTAAAGCCTGAAGTCTTAGGTCAGGGCAAGTATTTAGGGGAGGACCAGAGAACTTTAGTTCACACAAGTAGCATGGAGTGACTTATCCGTCCCCGGGAAAAGGTCCCGACTCCTGAGTTCTCACTTGGAATCCTCCTCCAAAGCCTGGGGGACAGCCCCAAGCCTCCCCTTCCTTGCAGCCTTTCGCTGGCAGCTACCAACAAAAGCCCCTGGTGCTCACTTATTCCTAAACGTGTTCAAAATCTTGCCTT